ACCTCACTTCTTGCATCTGAAGAAGTGAGGTTCTTACCCACGAAAGCTTATGCTCCCAATACTTCTGTTAGTCTTAAAGGTGCCACAGGACCCTCTGTTGCTTTTTACAGATTCAGACTAACACGGCTACCCCTCTGATGTTTTAGGCTAAAGTCTCATCAGATAGTCATAATTTTTGTTTGCTTTTTTTTTTAAGTTGACATGACTCTGAGAAGCTACTCTTGGATATTGTTTGTAATTCTATAAAAGCATCTGTTGTCCGATAGAACTATTTTGTTTTACTGTAACACACCTTTGTAACTTTAGGTTGCTGTTTCATCCTTGTCGGCCGTTATCAAGTATTTAGAGCTTTTGTCGGATGAATCTAACTTTGGACAATTTGAATTGACTAGCTTTGACCTCAGTCAATATATGATACTGGATAATGCAGCTGTTCGAGCCCTTAACCTTTTCCAGGTAAGAAACAAACATGTATTTAAACTAATGAACTTGCTTCCAGTTTAATTCACAAAAGTATACACTTTGCTACTTGATAGTCGCCTCACAATACAGACTACCCCGAAAATCCTTTATAGCTGTGGTGGTGCGTAATCGGAGATTCTAATTTCTGGTTTCTGTTTTTTTTTGTTTGGCCACTCTAATGCTGTGTAACTTCCTAGAAAAAAAGCAAGCAGAGTGGGGGACTTTATCTAACTCCCACCTCTCTTACAGGAATTCCCAGCAGGCAGATCCAGAGGGGTTTTCATCTCCAGTGGCTGCAGCTTAGTATTTTCAGTCTCATTTATTTGCATGCAGAATCCTACCTCATTTATAACCACACGGGGGGGGGAAAAAAGGGACTTGCCACAGTGCTCCTCTTATTGAGCAGGAAGTGATGCAAGGTGCAACTTACAGCAGTCAGTAAACAGATTCCTTTGAAAGTTCTGCCGAAGAAACCTTGACATATTTAAATGGGCACTGTCAGCGTAGCCTTTTTAAAACAAACGGCCGAATGTCATCTTTGGTGTATTTGCTGACTGTACCCACAGAGAAGTAGTTCAAACACTGGTGTATATGCTGATTTCACTTGTACTTTTTTTTTTTCTGACCAGATTCTGCTTAGTGCTCCTTGGCCTGAGCTACAAAGTATATGCACTTTGGGGCCCATGGAAGAAGCCCAGGGAGTAGAGTACTACTTCCCCACTCCACAAAAGAGAGGCTCCTGGAGATTCCAGGGAATAAAGAACTCCGATCTGGCACCTAGGCTTGCTAGCCCAGGGAGAAAGGAGAAGCCTGAACATTCTTGCCGCCTTCTCCTGCTATGCCCAAGAGTTTAGGGCGGGGAACGTCTGCTCTATTCCCTTCTCCAGCTTTATGCAGGAGTTCTTGGGAGCGGCACCCTCTTAAACTCCTCTCCTTCCTGAGTTCCTGCCTGGGAGACTGGGACAGATGTAATTTTCTGACTAGATACATGGCATTGGGAGGACTCTTCCCATCTAATTTTGGGAAATTCCCATTTGAAGATGGGCTTTTATTTAAGGGAGGTGTTGCATAGAGCAAGCTCAAAATATAGTCCTAAAAGTCCCCAATGCAGGGGATCAAAAAGTAGCTTAGTAAAATGACACCTTATTTACACAATAGATCTTCTGACTTTAAAATGCAAATTTGCTGAAGTGGAATGTTTGGTGAAATCTGTAATAGATTTGGTGAAAGTCTTGTTGAAACCAGCAGGTTTCTGTTGGAAACTTGCTGGTGTTCCAGGGACCCTGCTGGGGCTGGCACTCAGAGCTTCTGAGCTCCTGTTCTCAAGCCTGGGATTCCAGGGTCCCTGCTGTGGAGCTGGGAGCTTTGATTCCTAGAATCAGGTTCCAAAACCTGTGGCTCTGGGACAGCCCTGCCATACAGACTACACCAGGGCCAGGCATTCTCAGGGCTTCCAACTGGCCCAGGAAATTGGAAGCGCTGGGGTCACCAGCCTGAGGCAGTCTGCATGGTGGGGCTGCCTCTCTGCAGCAGACCCTGGGAGTTGGTCCAATGACCTCCAGACTCACAGCTCAGTGTCAGGGACCCCGGATGACCTGAGAACCCAGACTCAAGCAGGGAGCCCATCAGCCCCAAGAGCTTATGGCAGTGGAATCCTTGTGAGTTTCATATCTAGGATTCAGTGAATGACAACTTGCAAATTAGGGCACCCGGGGCTGATTTAATGCACTCTAACTCCTGAGGTGTCCACACTGGCAAGGCACGTAGAGCGCCTGGACTCCATGGCTGGAGCGCCCCTGGTAATCCACCTCCACGAGAAGCATAAAACTTGCTGCGCCCTGGCTGAAACACTGGGGTGTCAGTGTGGATGATGTGTTGATTACTGTGCTGTGATTGGCCTCCTGAAATGTCCCATAATCCCTTGAAGTCAAGAGGCCACTCTCGTCATTGTTTCGAACTCGCTGCAGGCATGCGGATATCCCCTTTCAAAGCTTCGTTTCTGACAGCCGGCATGCTTATCTGCTCCGGGACACAAAGTAAACCATTACTGTGAAATGCTCCTGCTGCAGAGCCAGGTGTGTGTGTGTGTGTGTGTGTGTGTGTGAGTGTGTGAGAGGCGGAGGGGTGGGGGCTGATGTCGGGTTTCTCCCTTCCCCCTGCCGCTGTCTGAACTTACAAGACAGCATGCTGACACTTTCTCTGCCCCCCAAAACCCGCTGTCTCTCCCCCTCCATACCCACAACATACTCCCTGTCCGGCTCCACCCCCCACCCCCATTTGAAAAACACGCTGCGGCCACTTGCACACTGGGATAGCTACCACAATGCACGCTCTCTGTAGCTTTGCAAGAGCTGCTAATGTGGCCATGCCACTGCGCTTGCAGCTGACAGTGTGAACACACGGCAGCACTTTCCCTGCTGCTGTCTCTGAGGGCTGGTTTAACTCCTGGTGCTCTACATCTGCAAGTGTAGCCATAGCCTAAATTTCACATTTTGTTTCAGGAGCACACCATATTTTTGTCATTCCAAAATGAAATGTTGATCTCTGGTTTGCCTAAAAATTTTGGTAACTTTGCTTTTATTCCAAATTGGAACAAAAGCAAATTCTGAAACACAACTTCTCCCTAATTGAACTTGCTATTCCTTATTCCTGTTAGCATTGCAGAGCAATATATCTTTCAGGGAACAAGATGGATTCTATTGTCTTTTGCATCATAGTTGGTGTTAACCAAACTCCAACTGTAGAATATTGTGACACCCAAAAAACTCAGCTTGTCTTTCAGATTCGTGGTTGAATTTGCAGAATGTCAGAGGAGTTGCCTCTCTTCTGTTAAAGCAGATTTGATTTGAAAATCACATAGACACACTAAACAAGAATCTTTGATATGACAGTTTACAGATTAAAAATGTGTTTTAAATAACTCTTAGAAATAGCTAAATTGTAACTTGTAAGTGATACATTAGATATAACTTCAGAACCAGAGTAATTACAGGGTGAAAACTAAGCAGTTCAGACAGCAAAATTAAGGACTTCACTGCTTTTTTTGTTTTGTTTTTCTCTCTCCATACTTGCATCAGGGGAGCAACTTCAATCAATTTTTTCTTGGCATCTTTATTTTACCCATGCTGCTCAAAGCTTTGTCCTGATTCTCTCTGCTATAATTACTACAATGCAACATCTTGAGCTAGGATTGACAGGGTGTGTCTAAATAGGTAAAATGAGCTGGAAATGGCTCTCTCCAAAGACAATGGATGTGGCTCAATAAACAGCCTATGCATTTGCTGCCTTCTGGGTAAGGCACTTCCTAATCTGTCCTTGGGATTGTTGCCAGCCTGGGAACAAAGAGCCTGCCACATGGCACTACTGCTTGAATGTCAGGCTTTTCTCTCTTGACTAGTGTTTCATCTAAATAAAAAAATCTGTTATGAAGTCTCTTCTTACATACTTTACAATTTGAGTCAATCACTCTGAGGCAGGAAGATTCTGACTGATAGCGCAGTTGATGTAATGTAGTTCCACATGCTGCCTGAGCCATAAAATGGTAATATAGATTGGCAAGTGCAGAAAAATAAAGTTTGCTAGGAAACCTTTGAAGAGATGTAAAACCAAATATCTGTTCTACTGTCAGTCAGTTGAATAGGTATGTATTTTTAAACACACACTTAACTATTACATACAATAGAGTAAATATTTCTTTTACATAAAGTGCCAGTGTCTACTATAACAAAGTAAACTGTTATGCCAACTCCAAAATACTTTATTTATATGACTAATTTTTAAAATAGTATTGGGTCTTGGGTCTGCTTGCACTCAGCTTGATATTTCATAGTAGTGTACAGTTCTCCAATACGTTGACTGTGGCTATTGTACTTTGCCAAAATAAGGTTCTTACTTCCCAGCATTTTAAACTATTATACCTTGCTTAATTCCATTTCTCTCTTCTGGACACTCTCTCCATTACTATAGTGTATCTCTCTCTGATAGTGAAATCAGACCTGAGACTGGATTTCCATTTGAAGCTGTTTGATTTTAATTATAGGTGTGCTTGAGAGGGTGAGATAGAAGAGATCAGTACTACAAACCCCTTCACCCAAGTTGAGACTTGAAGGTTTTGAAGCAGATGTATCAGCTATTTTTGCATGTTAAATGTGTCTGAGAATTTCCTGCTGGCTGAATTTTGTATAGCTCGTTCAAAGATATAAAGCTGTGCAGGTACACACAGCATGTCTGCAGTTAATATCTAACCAGACACTGAAGATAGTGTACTATAATCTGAACAGACCTGGTTTAAAGGTTATAACCTATAGTACCACAAAACGCCATTATTATGCTAAATTTAATTGTCAGAAATGTAAAACTAGAAAACTCAAATGTTCTACCAAGCTGCAGTTGTTTTTTTGCCATACCCTCTATTTATTTTTTAAATCATTTCTATTTTTCTCTTTTCAGAGTTCTGTTGAAAATGCCAACAGTACACAGTCATTGGTTGGGTTATTAAATAAGTGCAAAACTCCTCAAGGACAAAGACTGGTTAATCAGTGGATCAAACAGCCACTTACGGACAAGAACAGAATAGAAGAAAGGTAAACATACATATTGGTATGCATCTGATCACTTCACTGCAAATCCTTACACTACAGATAGGAGTCTGGTCACACTTTGTTTTGTTTTTTAGCAAAACTAAGACTAGTCTTTATCAGAAACAGCTTTTCAAGGTTGAAATGTTTACTTTCTATTGGAAATAGACTAACAAGCACTTACAGATTTCTGTAGAGAATAATGTAAATTTGTTTACAGAATGTGTTAGGTGGTACATTATACTTGGAGCAAAGGGCTTTTTTCTCTAATCGATTTACATCTAATAGAAGGTTTAATGTATCAGGTCACTAAGCTGAACCCTCCTAGTTATAATCCTTTATACTTAATCATAAGTCACAAGTTACACGGGCGTGGAGCAGCAATAGGCTTACTGTTTTGAACACTTGAGACTCAGGCTATGTAAATGCAGCAGCCACTTTCTGATTCTTATCTAAAAGTAAACTATACACAGTACGAATACTCTGGTCTCCCAGCCCATTCTGAAAATGCCTTCATTGTGTTAACAGAACATTTAGACACCTCAGTGATCACTTATATAGGATAGCACATCTAGATCGCACCATTAGGAATGTTACCTTCTGAGTGGAGGGACTTGTCCACCTTTTATAGATGCTTACTATGCAGATCAATACTTACGCAGATCAAATACTTCTCCACACATAGAGCGGATTATTTATATCTATCTTGGGGCTTTATGCTGCAGCCCATCACCATAGTATCTGAATGCCTTCTTTGTAAAATGAATAATAGTATCAAAATCCTTAGAGTACTTCATGGAGCTTTTGGCACACTCCCGCTCAGTGGAAATGGTTAGTTAGCTTTTATTTCCTCCTAGACATACAAGTTCAAGGTCAGAGGCTGTGTTTGAGAAGTAACTTGTTTGCCTTGTGACATCTTGATCATAATCTCTCTATAAGCAGACAAATGACATTTTTAACATGTGCTAAAATAACTGAGTTATCCTTTCATGTTCTCAGATGGATAGCAGGTTTGTGTGTGTACATGTACATTTTAAAATTATATTGCAAAGTACAAAAAGGGAGGCCAGGAAATTCTGATTTTGACTTTGAAATGGCCCCCAAAGCCGGTTTTCAGATGGTGCCTTACAGATATCGCTTGACATGCTTATATAAAACACTGTATATTCTGCAATTAGGGCTGTCGATTAATCACAGGTAACTCACGTAATAACACAAAAAATTAATCACGATTTAAAAAAAATAATCGCAATTAATTGCACTGTTAAACAATAGAATACCAATTGACATTTATTAAATATTTTTGGATGTATACTTTCTAGAAGTAAATACTTTGAAAAATAAAATGTTGATTAATCTTTTGCAATCTATCTCCCTCTTGATGTGAATTAGCAAGATCGTACTGTACACTAAAGTTAAAATTTTGAAGGATTCCAAAGCACTTTACTTCATATGCATACAATATGGGAATTGCTTCACTGCCAATGAAATGCAGTTATCTGTGGAGTAGAACACTACAGTTATTTAACAGTACACAGCAATGTTACACTATTCAGGAAAGCAGACCCATTGATATGTTCAGCTGAGATTTGTAGGTAGAAGTTAGGTGGAATGGGTTTGAGAGTAACCACTGGTTTCATTTTTATGAAAAAGTGCCATGGAAACTTAAACCTTCTTTTTTCAAATGATGCCTCCAGCTGTACCCTCCCCCCCAATCACTTTAATGCATCATTGGTTCAGTATTAACATGAAGTGTGCACATGCTAATGTGCCATCACCATTTCTAAGCAACGTCAAATGCTGCAAGTCTCATGGAAAACAAACCCATCCAGACCCTGTTTGGCTAGTATGGCTGCAAAATCTTGCCCCACAATTGAGATCTGTAGGTGGTATAAGACAGTCATCCTTTGGAGCTAAATGGCTGATGCAATTCTATTTACACTAGTTACTGAGGAAGTACATAGCATTAGTTTTACATGTGCAGGATATTTGACATCCAATTATACATCTCTACCCCGCTATAACGTGACCTGATACAACACGGGTTCGCATATAGCGCGGTAGCAGCGGAGCTCCGGCTGCACTTTAAAGGATCTGGGGCTCCAGCTGCTGCGGGGAGCCCTGGGCCCTTTAAATCACCGCTGGAGCCCTGCCGCCCCTACCCCGATATAACAGCGTTTCACCTATAACGTGGTAGGGATTTTTGGCTCCCCACGACCGCGTTATATCGGGGTAGAGGTGTACATGTTGGTGGTTAAAGCAGAGTAGAGGAATAGCAATCAGAATACAAATGTGCCTATAACTTATACACTGGAGAAAAGGCATCTAAAGCCATTGCTGTTAGAACATGTGACCTTTTGCTGGAGCAGCTTCTAATAAACACAAGGAAAGCAGGGATTCCTTACACTTGCATTTCTGGGTTTTACCCAGTCCTTTTTCCTTTATAAAGGAAACAGACCACAGCTGTACAGAGGAAGCTGACTACCCAGCCATCCCTGTGCGGAGTTGCTTAGGAAGCAGATGTAGGAGGCTGTTGCTTTGTGCTTTGCAATCAATGTGTTTCTTGTACTGATATCACTGAGTCTGGGTACACAGACAGTAAGAGCTAATACAAAATATTGATTACAGTGTGTAACATTACTAACTATAAAAATAGCCTGTGAAAGTCCTTGCTGTTTGGCAGACATTTGAAATCCTGAGAAACTAGAAATTCTGCTGACTGAAAAGTAGAGGTTGCTGTATCATGCTTCTTGGTGAGCTCTCATACAGGGTATATTTGGCTGATTCCTTTAGTCTGTAGTGCATCCTCATCTTTCTGAAAAATCTCACTGTATAATTTCTGCTCAGCTTTCTTGAACAAAAATGTTGATTCCACTGAACGTATTCAGTCCTATATGCGTGTTGTCTTATTGTGGTAGTTGCTGGGGCCCAATCCGGGATCTGGGCCCTATTGTGCTGAGCATTGTACAAACACATAAGTGTCCCTTCCCTGAAGAGTTTAGTCTAAATATACTGTAGGATTATGCACTTTAACATTGATTACCTGGCTGGATTATTTTGAGATGTTCCTAAATTTTGCGTTGGTGCCTCTGCAGTTTACCTTGGTTAGGGAAATTAATTCCAGCTCTAGCAGCCTCAAACTATTGTTAAGATGACTACTAGATGTTGGAATTTTTATACCATTCAAGGAGATTTGGATGATGAAATCAAGGGGTTCGGGTAGAATTTCCTTGTCCACTGAGCTTCTAGGGATTCATTCAAGACCTTTTCTAGACTAAAATTTTTTAAAAAAACTCTGCTAAACTAATGGGTTTTATTTAAGGGTTTAAAAACTTGTTGCTACCTAGTGTAATGGGTTTTAACACCTTTCAAAGTATTTTAACTAGTCAGGGCAACACTAATGGTTTTATAGAGATACTATGAAGCAGTTTTCTGTTAAACTTTCTCTCAGGACAGGACAACATAATAATGTATCCCTGCAAAGTATTGACAGTTAACACTTCTGCTAGCCACAGTGATAATGTAACAATGCTCTGGAACAGTTGTCAGTCAAGGAAGAAGTTGGGACCTTTCAATTTTCGTTTGAGATCAGCTTTTTATGTTGAGATTGAAAGGTATTAGCCTGCATCTACACCAGGGAAAAAAATCCTGGTTAGGTTGGAGTTAGCAAACTCTGACCTAAACTAGACCCCTTTTGAATTTGGACAAACCCTGAAAGTGCACCTAATGGCTACAGGGAAGTTTCCAACATGTAGATTGATCAATTGATGTTTCACGTCAGAACGTGACTTGTGATTGGTTTACAGTACAAGCTACTATAAATAATGCAGGTGAAATGAGCGGTCATTTTACTGACATGAATATGACTTGCTGGCTTTTGCAATAAGCCTCTAGTTTAAAATATAGATATACATTTTATCTGATGACAAGGTGACATAGTAGCGCTTAAAACTGTTTGAGCATTTCCATTATAAACCCCTTTTCAAGAATGCTTAATACAGTAACTCCTCACTTAATGTCCTGGTTAACATTGTTTTGTTGTTACATCGCTGATCAATTAGAGAACATGCTCGTTTAAAGTTGCGCAATGCTCCCTTATAACGTTGTTTGGCAGCTGCCTGCTTTATCCACTGGTTGCAGAAACAGCAGCCCGTTGGAGCTAGCTGATAGGGGCTTGGAACCAGGGTGGACCGGCAGCCCCCCCATCAGCTCCCCTAAGTTCCATGTGTGGTAGCCACCCAGCAGGCTATTTATTGCCGGGTAGTTCAGCTGTCCCTCCCCCCACTTCCGTGTGCTGCTCCTGCTCTCTGCCTTGGAGCTGCTCCCAGGAGCCTCCTGCTTGCTGTGTGGGAGAAAGGGGGCAAAGAGGGGTGCTAATGTCAGGGTGTCCCCCTCCCCCCTGCTCCTGTACCTCATCTCCACAGAGCGGGGTGGGGGGGGGACACAACAGGGCTCAGGACAGAGGGAGCTTGCTGGCAGCAGCTGCTGTCTCAACTTGCTGATCTACTTAAAAAGGCAATGTACTTAGTGTGGGGTCAGTGTACACTGTGTGTCCCTCTCCCTCCTCCTCCCCCCACCCCACATGGTGTGTGTCTGTTTCTCTCTGCCATGCTGTGTCTCCTCCCTACATTCCTGTGTGAGGCTACATTAACAACAATGTGTTAACCCTTGAGGGCTCAGCTGAGTGCTAGTTCATCATTTAGCAGCAAGGCATTCCCTGGGAAATATCCCACTCTCTTCCACCCTCTGACTTCACCACCTCAACCAAGCTTCACAATCATCATTGCTGTGTACAATATTAAACTGTTTGTTTAAAACTTATACTGTGTGTGTATGTATATATAGAGATTGAGAGTCTTTTGTCTGGTGAAATTTTTTCCCCTGGAACCTAACCCTCCCCTATTTACATTAATTCTTATGGGGAAATTGGATTTGCTTAACATCGTTTCACTTAAAGTAGCATTTTTCGGGAACATAACTACGAGGTTAAGTGAGCAGTTACTGTA